ATTGGCGCTATACAAATAAATTGAATTGAATTGAATTATGGTGTGTATACTAAGAGAGAAAAAAAGAGATCCAATTCTGAGCACCTACCTAGTTTGCTCAGAAGTAGTAGTGATTGTCAATTTGCGTGAGTGGAGATGCCAGAAATATGACAAAAAAAAAGGTCAAAATGTTACTGGGCTAAGGTGGTAAACTTGGCATATCTATCTGGTGAAAACAGTTTTCTGACAGACCTTAATGTCATGGTACCTGCTTCTTCTTCCTAGACAAAACCTTCCCAGTCCTCCTGCCCCTCGCCCTACATTACCTTCAATCCACTAGAAAAGACCTCCCAGGTTTAAATGCAGATGCATGTCACTCCACTCTCAATCACCATAACTTCCCACACAGGTTAGAAGCAGGAATTAAGGCATGGTGTATCACAGTTACTGGTGCTCCATTAAAACTTGCAATTTTTAACCTGCATTAATCATTCTGCACTCTCAGGGGCTCTTAAACCCTCAGGCAGTTTGTCACTGTGTGTTGAGATTATGCACCACTTGTGCAATTACTTGACAAGGGCATTAGCAGAGTCCTTCATTACAACCAAATCTTAAGACTCTGCCTCTTTGAGTGTTTCATTATTTTTATCCTTTTAATTAATCAGCTATGTTGTATTTTGTACGCTCTGATGAAGGTCAGACAGTCTAAAAGCTTGTTCAATAAAATCATATATTGCATGGATCAGGTGTGGGAAACTTCAGTTTGGACATATTGATGCTTCCAGCACTGTAGCAAAGATTTAGCTGTGTAGAGTGGTTGTTACTTTTCAAATGAACCCACTATTAAATGTTAGAAAATGGTGAACATTTTTGTCATAGTTTTCAAGACCACACAGTGAAGTTTTCAAATTGCTTGTTTTGTCCAACCAACAACCCCAAAAATTTGCTAAAAGATTAAAAAACATTTAACACAACGTTTACATTTGACGAGCTGAATGATGACAATGCCAACTTGATGAATGACCTAAATGACGAATGGATTATCAAAATGGTTGTTAATTTAAGATGATAGGACAATGCACAGAGAGGATGGGGAGCAGGAACTCAATAGGGGTCCACGGCTCATTTTGCCTCATACAGTGACTGAACCCTCTGTGCGGAGAAGAATTAGTTGCTGACCTGCATCTTGACTGTTTTAACAGAGCTGTTAGAAACCCAGTGCAGGTCTCTGAAGTGTTGCTCTGTGTGGCATACAGAGAACATATGGAGTCATTCAGCCGCTCATACGTCATGCAGCTGGCCTGTGTCATGGCTCAAGCATGTTAACTATTGGTGCTGTTTCCTCTTTCAAGTTCCTCACAGCCCCCAGCCCCTCACAACTCACACAGGCTTCCAATCAACGCTGTGCATGGCTAAGACATTGAGCTGCAAATAAAAATCTGATTCCATGGTGAGAAAATCTGAAAATACACTTTTATTTTGCTTTACTCAGCTGCACACATATGTGTGTTTTCATACAGTTACAGCTAACAAAACTGCAGTAGTTAACACACTAATTGAAAGAGAAACGGTCAGAGCTGGACAGACTGAGGGAATTTAAAGAAATGAAATACTGATAGAGAGCAGACGACACAGTGCAGTCTAAACAATGTGCTGTTGTTAAGCCACACTATATAAAAAACATTCACTGCCTCTGGCACTGCCATCAAATCTCTCAATTACCAAGAAATATACACGTCACTGTATAACCCTGAGTGGTACATCAGATAAAGTGACTCACTGCCATAGCTGTATTACATTTTGTGTAAACTGCAAACTGATTCATGACATGAAAATGACACGTCTTGTTTCAAGTTGTCAAGCACAAAGCTGGTTTAAAGACTGTGATCCAGTTCAGTGAGCAGAGGGAAAACCAAGCAGAGGCCTGGGGAGCTGTGTGTTGCTGAAAACAGAACCAAACAAATAACTTAGAAAAAGGGAACAAATATGAGGTTTTGGCACACCTTCTACCATATAATGGTACTGGCAGTGGCCATTCTGTTAACCATGCTATACCATATTCTATGGTCCGGTTCCTTCATTAACAAAGAAGGATAAACACTGTGAATGCTGTTGCGCTAACAACAAAAGTTTTGAATATTTAGGCCTATACTGTGTTACTTTGTTTTCTTAGTTGGTGTCACATGACTGTAAATATGCTGGTAAGTGGAATTAATTTTGCATTGAAAATGTTTTGAGATGTTTACA